CAGAATTTTTGTTGTTTATCGAGCGAATATCGTTAGGACTTCAAATATCCCCAATATTAAGCAACAGCAATCAAAAAACTGAGTAATTTTCATAAGTCTCAATGTTGTTGTGTTCTACTCAATGCGCGCAGCCTGGTGAATAAGTTGCATCATCTCCGCCACTTTCTTGCCCTTCACCGTCCCGATATTGTATTCATTTCTGAGACTTGGCTGAACTCTAAGATATCTGACTCTGAAGTTTGTGCTAATGTTCCTTATAATATAATCAGGAAAGATAGGCTAGGTAAGAAGGGCGGAGGTGTTTGTGTACTGATTCATCAGCTCGTTGTATTTGAGAGAATTGAGTTGGATTTTCATGGACTTTCTTCTGATGTTATTTGTGTTGATGTGACCCTTTCCTCTGGGGTTAGCCGCCGCTTTATACTTGTTTACCGTCCTTCATCTTCTTGCACAGTCCAAGATGATCTTTTGATTTCGGTATTGTTTGATCTTTCTTCATCTACATCACACGAGGTGACGCTTGTGGGCGACTTTAACTTGTCGGCTGATTGGGAGGCAGAATCAGCCGTGAACTCTAGTATAGCTAAATTTTTTGAGTTGTTTGATGCACTTTCGCTCTATCAATACGTTAGACGCCCTACTAGAAAAGCAAGCATTATTGATTTAGTTCTTTCTGCTGTGAACAGCATTTTCGATTTGGACATTCTCCCACCTTTAGCCTCCTCGGATCATAACATTGTTATGTTCAAGGTGGTTCACACATTAAAATATGTATCACCTATCCATTATAGAGACCTCAAGAGTTCTAATAGAGAGGCTATTTCGCTTCAACTTCCCTCAGTAAACTAGCTGCAGTTGTTCGAAGGTTACAGAGATATTGATGACGTTTATGAACGATTCTGCTTCGAAATTCGCAAGATCATTAATCAATATGTGCCGATACGGAAAAGGGAGTATGGTCGGAGAATGTCTTACCTCTCCCATATTTCAAACTTATTTCAGCAAAAAGCTAGGATCTTTCACAACACGGAGAATCCCTTAGATTCCCCAGCCTACCGTTATGTTTGTAGTAAACTAGATAAGCATTTAAAACGATTCATGGATAACAAGATTAGACGCATNTCTTCTTCCAAGAATATTCGTAATTTGGCTTTATTCGTGAAGAAGTTTACAAAGCACATTCCATCCAACTCAATAATCTTGAGTTTGGATGGTGTCAAATGTTCTGATGATGCATCTAAAGCTAAGGCATTTGCTACTTACTTCTCCTCAGTTTTTAAGCAGAGTGTGGATGGCGGAGCTTTTGCGATTCCAGTGTGCCGGGATTCTGTACCAACCTTATCCATTACACCTTATATGGTTGAAAAGCAGCTCCTGTCACTCAAGCCTTCCCTTTCGCTCACTTCCGATGATATACCGCAGTTTTTCTTTAAGACTTCTGAGCACCAGCTCACCGGTCCTCTAACGCATATTTTCAACATTTCTTTGTTGCTGGGGGAGGTTCCCGCAGAATGGAAGCTAGCGTACGTCACACCTATACCCAAGGTGAGCGGTGCCAAAAGGGTCTCTAAGTTCCGCTCTATAAGTATTCACCCGACTCCGATCAAAGTTCTGGAGAAATTTATCAAATCATGGCTCACCGCTAGAAATCTCGTACCCCTTGAGCAACATGGGTTTGTCCCCGGAGCATCTACCTGCACTCAATTGATTGATTGTACTTATGACTGGATCTCCGCTCTAAATTCCAAGCATAATGTTGACGTTTTTTATTATGACCTCACAAAAGCCTTCGATACTGTATGTCACTCCAGTCTGTTGAGGAAACTTGATAGCGTTGGAGCTAGAGGAAGACTGTTAGACTGGTTCAAATCCTATCTTTGCAATCGAAAAATGGTTATACGCATATCAGATTCCATTTCACAGTCCAGGAATTGCCCATCAGGGGTCCCGCAAGGTGGGACTCTGTCCCCTATCCTGTTCCTCGTTTATACAAGGAACCTAATTTCTTGCCTAAAAACTCATCCAAGTATTAAAGTGGCGGCGCATGCGGACGACATTAAAGTCTATGCCGTATACACCGCACAAGATAGGGAGGCTGTTCAAGTTGCCTTGAACGCCTCTGTTAAGAGGATGATGGAATGGACTAGACAATGGGATTTGAGCGTAAATTTTTCCAAGAGTCACTTATTTTCGCTCACAGGAAATTCGCTTTGCGTTAATTGCGATCAGTTCGGGCTTCTGACTTCGTGTGATCTAATGAAAGACCTAGGTGTATTTTTCTGTAAAGGCCTCAAATGGAAGTTCTAAATTGATAATGTTGTAAGCAAAGCCATGCGAGTTCTTCATTGTCTCTTTAGAAGTATTCACTGTTCGGACTTGTTTGTTTGGATTAGATTGTTTAAGACGTTTGTACTGCCTTTGATCGAGTACTGTGGCCCTAATTACCCGCGCACTTTGCCTGCTTATAAAATTCGCTTGGAAGAACTAAATCTGAAATCTTTCGTTTACAGGAGAGTGCAAGCCGATCTGGTTCTTGCTTTCAAAATAATCAAAGGGGAACTGCGTTTACGTCCATCCAAGTACTGGATTTTTCGCCCCTCCAACGGGAGGCGTGGGGGCTTACTCCACTTCTTTCCTAAAATGTCGTGCTGTAAGCATTTATCAGTGAACACAGCTTTTTTTACAGGACAAATAAGTGGTTAAGCAAGCTGCCTAGCGCAATGATGGCTTGTAAGAGTTCCGCTCAGTTCAAAGCATCTCTCAGGAAGATCAACATTCTT